TAGGACAATATTTTCGCCAGTGGAGACTTCAATTGAGTAAAACAAAAACTGAAGCTACATGCTTTCATCTTAATAATAAGCTGGCAAATGAAGAATTAAAGGTTTACTTTGACAACAATTTATTGAAACATAATATGAACCCGAAATATCTTGGCGTCACTTTGGATAGAACTTTATCTTTTAAAACACATCTGATGAATTTAGCTGCCAAGGTTAATACCAGAAACAACATCCTCCAAAGACTATGTGGAACTACATGGGGTTCTTCGCCGTCCACCTTACGGATCTCTGCTCTTGGCTTGGTTTTCTCTGCAGCAGAATACTGTGCACCGGTATGGATGAACAGTGCTCACATTAAAAAACTGGATGCCCAACTAAATGCTACTCTACGTATCATAACAGGTACTATTAAATCAACTCCTATTCACTGGTTACCTATTTTGAGCCATATCCCTCCATCTGCACTCCGAAGGGACAGCACTTTGCTCAGGGAATATAGGAAAATATTGTCTAATCCACAACTTCCGATCCATCAGGATATTGATGACCTCAACATAAATCGACTTAAATCAAGACACCCTCCTCTTATAAGAGCTAAATCCCTGCATTCCAATAATTTCAACCTCACTGAATCTTGGAAAAGGCTCTGGGCTGATGTCTCTCCGGTGGACAGTCGACAACTTCCTTGTATCACAAAGCGACCACCTGGATTTGAGTTATCCAGAAATCTTTGGAGTGTGTTAAATAGGATTCGGACCAAACATGGGTTGTGCAGGGACAGTCTTTTTAGGTGGGGAAAAGTTGCATCCCCACAGTGTGACTGTGGTGCTGAAAGACAGACTATACATCATATATTGGAAGATTGTCCAGTAAGATCTTTTTCGGGACAACTGAGTGACTTCTTGATTATGACTGAAAGTGCTTTAAATTATATTTCTAACTTAGATTTACATTTATGATTTGTGTTCTTGCTTTTTCTGCTTTCTGTTCTAGTTGACAATTAGATGTGTAGCCATACGCTAAATAAATGTGATGTGAAAACGTTATTTGTTGATTGTTTTGTTGGATATCTTACATAAATGACAGTATCAAACGTAAACAGATTTTAATTTCAACAACACATCAAATAATTGTTGATTCTTCCTTTCGTTTGAAAGTTACTAAAATGTCAATGTTATTTTTTACTCTATTTGGACTAATGTCTTTTTTAACATATAAACACTTACGTCAAGTCGGAACTTTATAATTTTATTTGAACTTTTTAGGACATACAGTCAGGCTGTTATCTAAAATCGATTGCCTGAGATGAAAAATAATCGTCGCTTAAATGTTCAATTTAATAATTCAATTCTTCAGTTTTGAATTTCGGTTCGTTACAAGGGAGTTACAAAAATCTGAAACTAGTGCAACATAATCTATATATATAAAATTGCTTGTCCTGACTGACTGACTGAATGACTCAGTGATTCATCATCGCTCAGAGCAAACCGCTGGACCTAAAGAAGTGAAATTTGGAACACAGTTAGGATACGTCATGAAAACGCACACTAAGAAGGGATTTTTCGAAATTCTCCGGCGGGGGGAGAGGAGAGGATTAAGGCTTAACTGGAAGAACGGCTTCTACTGTACTATTTTAGATGCGATTTTTCGTTTTCTACTACGTTTAATTTTCATTCAGTACTTAAATGTATTAAATTGATAACATTTCAGACATTGTTATAAATATATTTATCTATTTCGATTTTAAAAATGCTCGAACAGTTTTAAATTCGAATTTGTTATTGCATATTGGTTCGATTATATAACGATTGTAAACGTTGAAGAAAATTGATCAAATTGAAAAGGGTTCTATTGATTCTCGGCAATTCTCATCATTCTCAGCGGTAGGTGTTATAAAACAATTACTATGGTTGTTGAAATACTGAATATAAATGGGATTGCTTGCAAGATCCTCGCGGGCAAAGCCACAGGTAACAGCTAGTATCTTATAAAACAAGTGAATGTTTTACGTACTGTTTTCGGTTGCATTTGCAGAATTTATAATTCAAGTTTTAAAATTTATTTTATAAATATCAAAAACATTAAAAATTAATAATGTACTACAACAAGGAAAAATTTGTCAATGGTTTGGTCAGACTGGCATATTATGCATATTTGTTGGCTTAAAAAGACAAAAGAAAATCGCTTTAATTGTTGATAAAGTCTTTCATTTAAAAGGAAGGTTGATGATGTCATTTATAAACACCGGTATATACTTAACTTAAGAAATCAGCAGTTATATAATTAAAAAATGAGAAGCTAGAGATGTCATCAAATAATATTTCGGTNTTTGATATTTCATTGTAAAGTACCACTTTTATTTATAATAATTAAATTTGTTTTATAAGTTATCATAATATATTTCATACTTTAACTAATAAATTTGATATATTCTATATTATAAACATTTATCTAATTAATATCAAAAAGTAAACATTATTCATTTAATAATAAGTTTAGAAGCTCTTACTTTTAGATGTATTCGATTGACATGTCTTTTTAAAGTACGATTTATTTTCGCACTGTATGTACAGTCTTTGTAGTTACATTTGAATGGTCTTTCTTCAAAATGTATTCTTTTGTGAACTACTAAATTTCCAGACAGGGAGAATTTTTTTCCGCAAATATTGCATTCAAACGGTTTCACACCAGTATGGGACCTCATGTGATTATCTAACTCCCATTTTCTACGAAATTTC